TTCCATATGCTGCAAGTGCCTTCAGTAAAGAGAGTTATTGACTTGACTCTCCTTCCAAGGTGAAATGAATCGCTGATAAAAGCATTGCTTCTGAATTTGTCTTGCAACCGGGTAAGGAATTGCTATTTTAAAGTTCGATGACTTTGAACCATGTTGCCCTCTTATCTCCAGGCCTCCGTCAGGATTGTGCCTCCAGCTCTGCTTCCGTATCACGTCGCAGTTCCAGTGCCTCCCTTCACTCCCTGCGAAGAGGTACCTACAGTGACCAGGAGTTTGACACCTACAGCCTTGAGGACGAGGATGATTATGATTGCTCCCTGTCGTACCGTAGCGCTCACAGATATTCGCCATCTCCGCTCAGTTCACCCCGATGTCAGTCCCCTTCTTCCAATGCAGATTATGGCAGGTCATCCACTTCCCGTATCCGTCCCCCAAGGAGATCCGTGCAAAGTCCAATGCAGGACCGGCTCAAGTATGCAAACAGCGAAGGTAAGCAAGTTGTGAGCTGTTGATAGGAGTCAGTGAAAATGATTTTGCCATATGCATTTCAAAAGCTCTGTTACTTAATGGAAGCTAAGGATTAGTTACATGCTTGTCTACTTTTAAGTGCCTGTTTTTTTCAAGAGATAGTCTAAACCATTATACATCTCCATGACTACCAGAAGCAGCAAATAAGAAAATTTGCTCTTGATTTCAGAGGAGATGCGCCACAGCATGCCCAACCTGGCCAGGACGAGCCTTCGAGCTTTGGAGTCTGTACGGAGCAGTCGGAGCTTGGAGTCAGACCTGCAGGTGCCAAGCAGTCGAATTCCAAGAACTCAGCAACGGTCAGCAGGTCAGTGCAACGTCTTCTACACACACTGCTGCAGTCCATTTCCTTTTGTCTAACGGACCTGACTAAACCTGAGGCCCTTAAGGCCTGGTATCCTGACACGTTCTTAAAATACTGTTGCCAACTTGCTTATTCCTTCATTATTCCATTTCTAGGTCTGGCTCCCAGTAAGCTCAGGTATTCCTCTGGTGCTGGGCAGTCTCCCTTAACAGTGCGACAACCAATGAAAGCGGGGTCATGCACAAACTCTCTGCTAACACCCAGGCAGCCAGTAAAAGCCTGTAGTTATGCAAGTCCTGTTAGCGGAGTTCGAAAACCACAGGCATCTTCACTTAGTACAGGCTCTTCCAGTGGCAGTTGTACTACCAGAAGCAGTAATATGGTCACTGTGGCAAAAAATTCACCCATTAAAGCACGCACATCTGTTGGAGGAATCTCAGTGTCCAAGAGCAAGCCGACACCACCATCCAAGAGGTAAGTGTGAGGCTTCATGCCTCACAGACTTAAGTGACTGCCTTTATTTCACAGATTAGAAATGCTTTTTTATAAAGTGATGTTCATCTCTGGTTTTAAAATGTGACACAGGTGTAGAGTTGGGTTAGCCAATTAACTTTTGATGTAGGGTTGTGGTGTGGGAGCTCTTAAAGAAATTGTAGTACTTAGCTGGAAGATCTATGGATGTTAAGTACTTTGCCCCCAGTCAAGAAGCAAAGGGTTGCAGTTTCTTTACCATTCTGTGGTAAAGAAAATTCTGTGACTGTATGTGAACTGACAGGCTGGGACGCAGCAGCTTCTGGACAAAATACCCCCTTTCAGCATGTAATTTGTGACCAAACCATTCAATATTTTGGTATTCCATCTGTTTAAGAAAAACCCATTTTTCTTACTGCTAATTATGCAGGAAAATAAAGAGGCATAGACTCGAACTTATTTCTATAAGGAGTTAACCTTGTGGCACACATTTATTTGGTGCATACATCTGGTTTTGGGAAGGGAAAAAACTCTTCTAAAGGACTAATAAACTCTCTTTACTGTTAATATAATAATCTTCCCAGATGACCTACTTTGGTACCTCTAACTTTGTTACTGGTAAAATAAGCTTGGTGGGCTTTTTTCTTCCTTAGTCTTTAGTTAGGACTGTAGGTGGGCATTGTCCAAGGCCTACTACAGTGGTTTGAAAAATAGGACAAATTAACAAGGCTTGTCTTAAGAATGATTCTGTATCATTATAGTAACTTCTTCATACAACAGGGTGAAAGCAGAGCATATATAATGGTTTCAAAAAACTTACAATTTTTGCTCTGATCTGGACTGATTTAGACAGTGGATATCTGAAGTTTGTAGAAAGCCTAAGCAACAGATGTTTAGTTTGAACATTCAATCTCTTTATAGGCCTTGCTCTTTAAGATGCTTGTAAAAACTATATGAAGAGTACTTTATGCTATTTTAGCAAAACGTTTTCTTAGCCCATTGTCTTTAAGGCACCTGCTGGGCTTTCATGTGTGTGAAATCCACTACCATGTTGCCAAAAGCTAGTTTTGACAGTTGTTTACACTACAATCATAGTGTAAACGTCTGTGATTGAGGGAAGTTGATTCAGTGTTAGACTGAGAAGCAGAAGACTTGATTTTTTTTTTTTTAATGTCGTCTTGTAGCCTTGAATAAATTGAACTGTTACCTACTTAAATGAGAAATACTCAAAAAGGAATTTTTTAATTTGTAGTAGTACTCTACCTGACTGTTTTTCATATGTTTAGTCGTATTTGCAAGGAAAAATAGTTCTCTTGGACTCAGACATGGAAAAACCCACAACAGTGTTAATAACTTAGTGGAGCAGGATAAATATGTCACTGCTTAAGAACCCAGTAATAGTCACTTCATTTCTCAAAATGGCTGCTGCTGTGTCTGATCTGCTGGCCTGGTGCAGGGGATGTGCATGTGTGACTGCAGCAGTTTACCGAAGGCAGGCAGATGTTGACATTGTCAAAAGAGAGATGTTGCAGAAGCCCAGTGTGAACTAAAACCTCCAACTAGCATTCCTCTGTACAGCAAAAACTTGCTGGGGACTTCAGCAGCTGCAGGAAACAGTGACTCTTTTCTTTGTGTCTCAAACCAGGTTTCTCCAGTCAGCACAAACCACTCAGGCCCCTGAGGATGATTCCTGGAAGGATGGGTGTTACTGACAACCCAAAATGCTGATGTACTGCCAAACACCTCTGTGAAGCAGACCCCCAGCTGGCTGGGTGTAAGAACGTTATTTGGAAATGAAACTCAAGAGCCCCATCACTCTGAAGACTGATGTATATAGTTCCTCTCCAATGCAAACTACACTCACCTCTGTTCTGCCCAGAGCCCTGACCTCTTAATGGTGGAACAGACAACTGCTTTACTGTATTTCCAACATTCAAAATGTTACTGAAATATGAGTCTTCACTTGAAGACTGAAAATAGCCTTATTTCATCTAAACTTCTACTTGCAGCCCTTTGGAAGGTTTGTCACAAAAAACTTGTGACCTGCTCCTGAGGCCGCTTGCTTAAAAAGGCTGCTGGTTGTCTTGTTTGTGCCAGAAAGCAGCTCTGAGCTGTTGCTATGGTTGCATAGCAGTGGCTGGGGGAAGTCTAGAAATAGCTATATAGATGTTAGAAGTTAAGACTTTTAAAATTCCACCTGATGTACTTTAATATGTCTGAAACTCAACTGTTTGGTTTTGGTTTTTTACATTCTATACAGAAGTAATTTCTGCTACTTTTTATTGTTTGTTCTAGAAGATGAAGCAGGTTTTTATAACTGTAGTACACTTCAAGCTGTTGTAGTCAAGCGTGTGCATCACAGTTCGCAAGTGAAGGAACAGTACACAATATTTGTGTGGGTTTGTGAACAGGCAGTTGCAGGGACAGGGGATGCTATTTAGAAACAACTGTTCATCAGCATCTTCATATCTCATATGAGGAAGCTAACACTGGTAAAACTTTTTTAAAATAGTACCCCTGACTGATTTGGCTTGAAGTGTTTCCCTTTGATCTCTCTCAAGTCACCCCTAACTGTCCATCTGATTTTTGTAGTTTTCTACTGTCTCTTTGGCTATGAAGGATTCTGTTTCAGTGTCCTTTCCTCAGTGAGTGCTGGATGCTATGAATAGTCTTAGTACAGAAAATATGCACTGATAGCAACATTCTCCCTGCCATCAATGTGATTTTGATAGTGTAGTTTAATAAAATGTTATGGTGCTGAAATAGATCTGCTTTATTCAAACAGCAAGTCTGAATTGAGTGGTTTTTGTGCTAGGAAGGAAGCTTTTCCTGACAGGCCCAGCCATATAGCAGTCTGCTTCTGCACAGGTAAAGAAGGTGACAGAGGAAATCTCTTATGATACAAGTATTGATAGTCACCTTTAAGCTCCAGGGATTTCCTAAGAATGAGGTGGGTGTTAGCAAAGGAAAACTTAATTCACACACTTGATTCAGATGTTTTCCAGGAGAACATCCACAAGTGGCCAAAGCAGAACAAAATATGGGAAACAACACCTGCAAATAAGAAGCTCTGCAGCGTGCTTTACAGCAGAGATCACTGCATCAAGCTTGCTTTAGAAAGGAGAAAGAAAAAAAAAAAAAAAGAGGAAGAGACAGTTGGTATCAAATTGCTGTTTCAGCCTAGCTCATGTATATGTTCTTGTACTAGAGTGATTTTGCCTAGAAGGATAATCCTGGCCCAGGACTGGCTGTGGGAGTAGCTGACTCTTCTCAGCCCTGTGTGCAGTAGTCATCACACCACAGGAGCTTTCAGCACTGGGGGTGGAAGCTTTGAGACCAAGGGTGGGTTGGTCACCTCAAGAGATGCACCTGTAAGCCAGTAACTGAAAAGTAGCAAGGGTTTCTCCTGTCAAATTCCATTTGCTCATTCTAAGGAATATCAGTATCTTACTACAAACTTCAGAGCTGTATACCATTATTTTCCTGAAGTTGAAATAACCCTCTTCAGCTTTGTAAATCTTGCTGAAAGGGCCAAGGTTATGAGCACCATTACATTTGAGAGAAGAGGCAGAGATGGAGCTGGGGCTATATAAACACCTCCCTCCCCTAAGCAAGTCAGACAACCAGTTTTACACCAATAGGCTGCTTGCTACCCCCTGATAGAGCTTTGCAGGATTACAGCACTGTCTTGGTGAGGCTTTATGGAGAAGGTTCTTGGCAAATATTTCTGCCTGTGGAAAAGCTGGAACCTAGTCCCATTGAACTTATTTACCTTCCCTATGTACAGAAGGAGGAAAGACCAGCTCCACTTCAGTTTGATTTCTCTATTTGAGTTTATTCTCTAAGAGTTTTGTCTTTATATGGTCTATATTCCAGAGGTACATTTTCCAGGCAGTGCATTTCTCTGCAGCCTCCTAAGTTGAGACAGCTGCTACTATTTAGTGGATGCCTAACAGATATTTAATGCTATGTAAAGAACAAAAACTGTCTGGAAAAGTAAAATGTTTAAATAGTTCAAGGTTGTATTCCAGTTAAAGCTTATCAGGCATGTGATCCTGTTTCTATGAAGAACTGGAGAAGGGATGTCTACAGCAATACAGATCTGGATACACAGAGACTTTAAAGTAAGCAACAAGGTTAACCAGGGCCTTCTTCCAATGTTAGCTTCTGCTTGAATTCCTGGGCATTTCAAATACCAATCTGAGAGGGACAAGCACTTGAAGATGGCTGTCCCCCTTGGGGAGAGGGCCACCTGTTTGCTTTTGGGCCATAGATCAGGAACATTAATCACAAAACCCAGCTCTGCAAGAACTATCATACTAATGAGATGTTAAATTAACTTTTATCCTTTCATTTCTCTAAGCTGTTCTCACACCAAGTGATCTTCCATCAGATTCTTATATTCTACATCATCCTGAGCCCTAGCAGATATCATTAGAATGCAGCTTTGCCTCAAACCAAGATAACAATCAACTGAACTCAGTTTCTGCAAGTTTAAGAGGAAATCCAATTCCCTCATAGTGATGCATCAGCCTGCTTCAAAAACCTAATACAACATCAGCATTTAACATTCCTGAGGTAGATGAAAGGCTACAGTGTTTTTACAGCGAGACTCCAGTGCAAGACAGGGAGCAGTGAATCAGTCTGTGCAATAACCTCTTCTAGCAAAGCAGGTTCTTCCCAGTTAGAACTAGCAAAGAGGAAAGGCATCCAGCACTGGGGATTTCCCTCAAGACAGGGATTTTAGATCACTGAAAAGTGTCTTTAAAAGTTTTTCCATAGACTTTCCTTAAGGCTCCCAGTAGTAACATCCTCCCCTGCCTGTGTCCTCAATCCTCCTTTCATATCCTCCCCACCCACACCGTGTCCCTCAGCATCCCTTTGTCCCAGGCACTCATAGACACCAAGTTCACACCAGGGAGAAGCAGATTCTTTCCACCACCAGAAACAGGCTCCTGTCAAGTCATGACACAAGAAACAAAGTCAAAAGCCTCCCAAAGCTGAGAGGTTTTACACAGCCATTATGGAAATGATTCCACAGCAGGACTTCCACCCATGACCTCTCCAAGCAGCCATGAAGGGTGACACCAAGCCTGGAGCACAGTGTTACACAGGGTGACCCACAGACCCAGCTACACACTGTTTTTTCCCTAAACTATATCTAGTGCTAGACCCACTTTTCACAGAACTAAAAGAAATCTTTCTGTACAGTAATTTTATTTAAATCAAGTTACCTTTGTTTTTACACTAATGCCTCAGTGCATCCTTTAAAAGGAAAGGAAGTATTTTCTTTAAAAAGTATTTGTACATAAGACAAATCATAGAAATGAACACAGTAACATCAACAATGCCTAAAACATGCACAACTGTACACTGAACTGGGGATGGCAGGAGGAGGAGGAGGTAAGAGGAAGGACGTCTTTCTCTAAGCTTTCAATTAACACAAAGGATAACAGAGGCCAGTGCCCACAGTGCTGAGCAGAACCACTGACACTTCTGGATATCACGATCTGGTTACTCTTAGTTAAATTTCAGCCTAGTAGAAGACAAATCCAAATAAGCATCTGAGTTTGTGGAAGAACTCTTTATCTGGCAGCTGCTGGAAAGCTCCAAGGTCAGCATAACACACCAAGAAAAAAAAGCATGTGAAGGAGCAGCAGCTTTGCATCATAGCCTGGGGCAAGCCCATGCTGCAGGGCACAAGTGAGCCCATGGCACCAGCCCCATGCTCCAGTCAAGTCACCATTGAAGCCTCCCCTACCTTGGCAGCTTCCACCATCAGAAGCCACTTCCCTGGGCCAAGGAGATGCAGCTTCCTTTGCAGAGCATCTGAGGCTTTTATGAGCTTTCAGTTTTTCTGTTCCTTCTCTTGGACAAAGCCTGTGAGATGCAAGACAGAAGTCCCTACACCCCTCGCAACAGCAGCTTTGGCTCCTGCCCACCAGGACTGGCCTGATGGCTGATGTCCACCTAGGACAGAAATACAGCAGTCACTGCTTCCAGGAGTAGGCCAAGGAGCCCGTCCTCCAATAGCCACATGTCATTGGCACATCTGATCCTACATTTGGTTATTAGCCTTGGGTTTGGTTTGGGGTTTGATTTTTTTCTTTTCAGAGGAGTAAACATTACTACACCCTCTGAAAGAACCTTTCTTCAGACAATAGAGAAATTAACCATCCCTCAGCTCCAACCTTCTGTCCCTTCTGTCCTCAGTTTTTAGCATACACCTTCTGAGTAGAGGCACAAGCAGCAGCTACCTGACACCTTATCAAGCCAGATCAACAGATTGGCCCCCAATGTCACCTTAGCAAAGTGATAACATTAGTATTCATTTTAGTCCACCCTCAAAAGAAGAAGAGGAGAAATAACATGAGAAAGCAGATACATTACTGCAACCTTAACTATACACAACCATCTCCTTTACTGTATTGATTTAGCCACAAATTAAGGCGGGGGGAGATGAGGAAGAAGTGAGGATGAAGAGGCAGCCATTTCAAAATGCTGACGTGACCCAACACCCTCCTACCACCTGCAGAAAGACCTCCAGGAACAGGGAGATTTCATCCAGAAACAGCACCTCCATCACACAGAGCCCCAGCCCAAAAGCCATTCTTTTTGGTGCTACCACTATTACACTTGCAACCTCTATGTATTGAAACACTACTCGAGGCCAGACATGCAGGGAGAGGCACCTGGATCTCCAATATTTGTAGATAGTGGAAATTCACATACACTGATCTTGTACCTCCACCATTATTTGGCTCAGTCCACCCTGAACGACCCTCTGCCACCACCCACAGGGTAGGACAGCTGCTAGCAGTACTGTTCACCCGCACGCTCACATGGAAGTGCAAAGCTACACGGACACACGGGCGAGCATGCACATAACCCTCCAGAGCTGGACGTACTGCCCACCCAGCTAAGAAGGCTGTAGTTGGGACAGAAAAATAAACAAAAAACATCCCTTCAAGTAATTTAAACCAGGCCATTCTTGAGGGTCCAGCTGCAGAGCAGTGACCAGCTGGGCCTGTTTGGGGTGATAAGGCAAAAAAGTCTGAAGTCCTGGAGGGATGGAAGAATGAGAAGGTGTCAGTAGTGAAAGATTAAGAGTTATCTGTAGGTTGCTTCTTCACACTCCTGTGATTCTCATCTCCAAGTGACCAGCACCAGCTGCCTCCAGTTACTTCTGCACACAGCTTGGCCATGCAAGCCCACCACAGGCAGCCGAGAGAATGATATAGATGATAACCTGGAGAAAGAAAGCAGCCACTTCAGTAGAGAATTACACTTCTGTCACTCTGTCAACTGCTGATTGGCCTGGCAATCCAAACACAAGCTTGGAAGCCCACGGTTATCAAAGCCCTAAATAACTCATCAAATGCCCCACGGAGCTTTGTGCCAGTGCCGCTTCCTCCACATCCCTGCAGCAATCTGGGGATGAGAACTGTCCTCCAGCAAGACACAAATGAGAGTTTGATGGTGACAAAGCACGTCACAGATCTAACCTGCAACTACACTTCAGCATCCTCACGTTAGCACTGTTTGCACTGATTACAGGCTGGAGGTACATCATCACAGTGAGAAAAGCTACTTCAAAGTTAGGTAACACGATACCAAAAGGACTAAGGCCTAAAAAGCCATTACAGACAGAGTAGCCATACACCCAATACCTCCGCTTCTAACAGAGCTAGCAAGGCAGCTGCCTATGACAAGGCACGTAGAAGGCAGACAGAACTGTCTGGGAAGCTTTTCCTATTGCCTTGACAAGAAAAGCTGCCTGGCACAATGCTTGTCTCTCCTCACTCAAGACCATTAAAACACCTGTTTTACAGCTAAGGCCCTTCCAGGCACAGAGATGAGTACTGCAGTTCTAAAGACAGCAATATGCTATTGGCACTTTCCAGTAGTTAAGCCTGACTTAAGAGCTAAAGGTTATTGTGCTCCATACTTACAATTGATACAATGATGATGACGATGGTAAGCTTGAGGTTCTTCATACACATGGCTCTAGCAAGGTTCCTGCTGGTAGTTTTGAAAGTGACTGACTACAAGAGAAAGTAAAACAAGTAATTAATTCCTGAACCTGCTGCAGAGGAAGCTACATCTGAAGATGAAGAGGCTTTTCCCAGCTACTACCTCCCTAATAACCCAAACCACTGCCGTTACCTCTTCCAGAGCCATTTAACTCCTGCAGTTACACTAATACAAAACTGAACAGGCATCAAGAGAAAGTTATCCCACACTACTTCAGAGGCAAGATAAGTAAAGTGTAAGAGTAAATCCAGAACCAGCCCAGGGTTGTGCCTTCCCATGCTCAGCTTGGGAAAATTAAACACAGAAGATCACCAGGTCAGTAGGCTGCCCACAAGGATTAGTTTACCTTAGAGTACAATTGGTTGGGTTCTCATTTGACTGCCAACGTTTTGGGAACTGAAGCACTCCAAAATATTTATGGAACTACTGATCTAATCACCAACACATTACATGCAACTCGATTAGCGTAAATACACCTGCCAAAGTGAGACAACCCACACTGTTACTCTTAACAGAAGTCCCACAGAGACAAGTCCTTTAATGTTAGAACTCTCCTTCAGTATTTAGGCTTGCTGCATTTTATGGAAAGCCTGTCGTTGTCCTGTTGCAAGTCTCCTCTATGCATCCTCCAGTTCCACCCACTCCGAACAGGTTTTGGTCACTCAATGATCTCAAACACCCACCAAGCCGTATCAGTGCACCTATTTTCACATGCTGTCCCCGAGCAGCTCATGCAAGGCTATGCCTGCCTGGAGAAAGGCTGCGGCAAGCCAACTCAGCAGCACACTCTGGTGGTTATTTTCAGGTTTTCCCCACAAACCAGCCCTCAACTCTTCCAGACAAGGCTCCACCAGGTAGAACTGCATCCCTATGAACTGTAATTCTGACCTCAAGCCGATTCCCATGCTCAGCCACCACCTGTACTGCGGGAGCACTTCTCTTGCTCAGCCGTGCAGTTTCTAGACATGGAAGCAGACTTCTGGATACAAACACCCCTCACCTCAGCCCAGGCTAGTTCTCCCCTGACCACCAGCTTCTACAGATCGACCTCCCAAAAGGGGGCCCATGCCACTGTTGCTAGGAGGGTTCTAACGTGTGGTTTATGTACAATATTCTGATGGTCAGAGCTCATACAGGAGTGATAAAACAGTCCATTACTCTGATGTTTGAGACCTTCAGCCCTGGATCTCCTAGGACGCTTGCCATCGGGCTGTAAGACATTCACACTAGAGGCATATGCTATTCCTTCATTTTTTCTACATGGTTTCCAAGAATCAACACACCTTGGGAGAGCTCATGCAGGAATTGAGCCTAATTGCCGAAGGAATTCCAGACCATTTGTCTAAAGCATTACCTGAAGTTAGACAGCTTCTTCCCACCCCCTGAGGAAACAGTAAGGTTTAAACACCTGATAGATGGAGGACAGCATTCCCTACTGGGTAAGCTCCAGCATCTCTACTACCTCTCTAAAGCATGAATACTTTTTGCCAGCTTAGAGACATTTGGATTTCCTATTACTCCAGACAGAGTGGGTTTTCCTTGCCTTGGGCACAAGAGATGAGGACAAGAATCACCACCACTCGTGCTGGCAGCATGTTAGCCTGTGCCCTAGTTGTAGCAAACAGGAGAAAGTTGAAGACTGTCCCTTAACAGGATGGGGCAGCAGGCAGTGGGTCCTTGGGAGCAAAGCATTTGGCCAGCAGTGCAGCCTAGTATTTAGCAGTCACCCACAAACCCCACCAGTACTGCCAGGACAGAGACACTGGGGATACCTACATTCTCTTAAAGGAGCTGCAGGACCAGGATGCAGCTTGTGAAACAGCAATAGGGAGTGGGGGGAATAAGACAGGACTTGTGTCTTGACACAGGGAAGGATTACCTGTAGATCTAAATGCTTCAGTCTGTTAAAAAATGGCTCTAGATGCTGATCTTCACCTCTACTGCTCCCTGATGAGCACAAGTGATGCAATAACACTATTTCCCATTTTTAAGTTCTTCCCCAGACTTACCGAATCCACAAGATTCTCTGTTTTATCGATCAGCAACTCCAGCTTCTCTCCTCTTTGTGCCACAAGGTCTGGAGAAAGAGACAAAAATCTAAATCTGTAGGTAGAATCCCAGTGCAAAAAGCTGCTTCCAATACCCAAGCCCAACTGCAAGCCAGGAACTCCTGGCAGGGGCTTACTGGACATCAAGTAGTTCTCACCCTTTCAGAGACTGCCAGGCACAGTACTTAAGGAACAGTCTCACATCTCACAGGCTACATTTTGGGACTAACCCGACTCAGTTCTGATCAATTCCAGATCTAACCTTAGATTTGAAGTGGTCAGACTTGTCAAAATCCAAACTAGAATCAGACCAAAAAGAAAAAGCTACTGAGGAGCATTATCCTCACATCAGCTGCAGGAGAACCACAGTGAACCAACAGACCAAATTCAGAGTGTGCTTCACCCCACCACAAACAGTGGAAGTTCATCTCAAACAGTGCTCCTCGCACCCACACCACCCTCAGCCAAGCTCAATGCAAGCAATTTTGCAAACTCAGAGCTCCCCCAGCCCCTTCTTCACCAGTTCATTTTGGCAAGAGAAGCTGCCCCATCATCAGCTTCGCTCTTGGTAACTCTCCCTGTGGGACTGCCATTCCGGCCCAGAGCTCTGCACGCAGGGAAGGCAGATACCTATGTTTCGAACCATGATTCCTTTAAGTTCATCGATTTGAGCTTGCGTCTCTGCCACCTGGTCAGTGCCCTTACTCTCCGAGTGGTATTTCTGTAACAAATGAATAGTCAGTCAAAACAGGGACCCTCGACATTGCACTTCAGTTCCTTAAGACAAAAAAAGGCAACTCCTGGTCACTGCAGGACAGCACAGACATAAATGTGAGTTTTCAAATTACCAGAGACATTTATAAGTGGGTAGTAGACACAAATCTGCCCCTCTCAGCCACTTACAGATCACACATGCCCACCTGCTCCTGCTCGCAGGAGCTGAAAGGCAGCCAAGTGCCTGCAACTTTCAGAGTGCCCATAAATAACAACCCCCTTTGAAAGTCTAAGCAACTGGCAGCAAGGAAGGAAAGTTAAGGCAAGAATCTGTGAGATATGGTTCACTAAATGCCTTGGCTCCTATCAGTGGTCCCACTCTCACACATAATTTCTGAACTATTTATGAAGACAGCACGCTCCCATGACCTTCTCTACTTAGCTCTAGAACATGTCAAGAGCACCCTCCAACTTCACAAGCAAGAGAACATGCAGCCATCTCCATGGGTGAGCATCAGAGGGAGTTCCAGCAAAGGTGAGGAGGGCCTGTGAGCTGGAAACACCACACCAGATGTTGAAGATAGACAGTTTGAGTTGCCTAATTGCTCTCTGTGGAGAGGATACAAGCAGCCAGGAGCCAGTCCGCTGCATATAAGACCCACCCAGAAGGATTTCACATCCCACTTCCTAGCTACAGTCTGACGGCTTTGCTGGTATCAAATCCCTCTGGTGCATCACAGCAAGTGGGAAAAGCACACACTAGATACCCCAGTGGCATGCTTGGTGTCTGTATGGAGCAAGCTCCCCTGCTAGCTTGTTGGATACCCACAGAAGCACACTCCGTTCTGCAGTCTCACACAAGAAAGCCAAAAACCAGGACATGTTGCTAACCTGCGCACCACTCCCATCAGCCCTTCCCCTTCATTCTCTTCCCTTCAGAAGTAACAGGGACTTTGCTCAAAGACTGTTCTTCAGGTGTTGGGATCACAAGCAAACCTTTGGTGACTGCACAGTTCAGATTGCTGGGCGAGAGAAGCACTAGCACCATCCCCAGGTTAAAAGGAGTCTCACAGTGTTTGCAGAATCAAAGGCAGGAAAACTGAGGTGCTGTCAGCATTGAATAACCAAATTTTGCTATTTCTGGACTGATTTTAAGTCACTGCTCTTATCACAGGTCCTCTGCAGCCAAACACTGTTAGCTCCAGCTCCCTTTAAGTCACCTTCACCCAGGGAAATAGGTCTCCATATCAAAGCTCACAGATAAGCCATTATTTACCTCTAAACTTGTAGCCCTTACAATCACTTCTGAAGACCTTCACAAAGCATCTCCACTTTAACAAGAGACCATCTAAGGAGACTGACAGCAGAGGCCAGGACAAGATCCCGATTGCCCTATTTCATAACCACCCACATGGCTACTTAGACCACAGTTTTCTTCTGAGTAAGTGTTTGATTTGCACCCATTTCTGACAACATGGGAAGCAAGAGTCTCTAACACTAACATCACCCAAATACTCAGGTCATAATTAATGGTTATAGCACTCAATGTGACAGCTCCTCTGACCCTTCTCCTCAGAGGTTATTCTTTTTAGGAAAGGTGCAGAACTGGCATGCTATCAAAACTGGTCACTGGTTTTACTGGGAGTGTAGCTTCCCTTTTCAGTATTATCTGTGTGCTACACTTGAGTTGTAGCATGATCTCCGAACTGCCACATGATCTCTTCCTTCACCCTCAGCTTCACACTATTTCAACTCTTTAAGTTACAGGAATCATTTAAGATAACAGTCCTGCTCTTCTACTACATGTAAAGTTTGGTCAGCAGGGCGCTCATCTCAGCAAGTTTTAGAGCCATTTGAGGGAAGAGCTTTCTGTCATCACTTAACTTCTATTATTTGATTCCTGGATTTCCATCAGTATGCAAAAGCCAAGGTAGGCAGCTCCTCTTACGGTATAGAGAAATGTAAATGCTGGGATTTATAGAGCAGTATCAGCACCATGGCTCTGAAGACTGCCTGGCTCTTCCGATAAGGCAATTCACTAAGCTTATTCCCACCATGAACAGCTTACAATTTGATGAGTCATCACTTCATAAAGTTTCAATCTCCACATATCAAAGCCTGGCGGAGAAGTAAAACTCAGTCCTATCACACATAGGAAGTTAATCTAACTTATTATGCACAATGCATTGGGCCCTTCTGGAGCCACACTAGCATTATTATTCATTGCTTTCTATCTGCTGCATAAGCTGAAGAACAGTTTCTGCAATGAACTATGTGCAACTTTACATGCTCCAAATCACGCCCACTAGTCACTGAGGGCACCAAACGGCTCCTTTCACAAACTCCACTACAAACTTCACACAGCAACAGTGCAAGTGCACATCCTTCACCCACCTCGGAGTCCTGGCTTCACCCTGCACCTCACCACTGTTGCACCGTAGTGCAACCTACACTTACAGGCAAGAGATGCTCATGGGTCACCAGCAAAGGATCTCTCCAGCTGTGCCTGTAGTATCACCAAACTTTCAGTAAATCCAGCAGGAAAAAAGCCAAGCCCTTCACAGAGAACAGCAACAGCACTAACATGCTCACCAGCCACAGTAAAGCAAATTGAGAACCTCCTACACCACATGTACAGCACCAGTGGTCGTTGCCCCTGATACAGATTGTGTACAAGCTCTGAAAGCCAATATTCCAAAGACATGACATCTTTAATTCAAGGGAGGTCTCAAAAAAAAAAAAAAAAATAAAAAAAATCCCAAAACACAACCCCAAAACAACATTGCTCAGGCTATGAAGTTGTTTGTATTCAACTAAGGACTCTTAAGAGTCTTCAACAGAAGATTCAAAACAACTTCCTTGTAGACAGTATAGCCTGAGGTTTTGTGCACTAATAAAGCTATCGATAATATGAGTTGCAGAGCAGTTATTTATTCCTTCTCTATCTTCCATCTGACTTAATTTAAATTTGACATTACATCTAGCAACAGTCCTGCACTTTCCCCAGGTCTGTTTTCTCTGCAGGTGCTGTAAGTATACCACTGCAGACCAAACACCAGGGAAAAGTGCTAACAGCAACACACCCACTACGTGAACAGCTCATATTTTAAGAGTAGCCCAATTCCACACCTAGAGCAACTGCTCTTTGCTTTCTCCTCCTCTCCCCCACAAAAAATAAAACCACCATTGAAGCAGGGCAGGGTGTTGTTTGCAGACCCAAGTTACACATCAAGTCAACCCCGCATTAAGAAATGCATCTTTCTATAGAGGGCTGAAGGGAAATGCAAACACTATGCTGTGCACTTTAATACTTCAGAAGCTCTACCCGTATACAAAGCAATACAACTATTTCAAATCTCTCACATCTGGCAGCTATGAGCTTTGTCACACCTCAAACAGAATACACAGCAAGCAAAGCACTTCTGTGAAAATGGGATGGTAGCATCAAGGCTCTATCAGATTCCTTTAGGAAGCAAAATAAGTGTGTAACACTCTGCATCTGAATCAGATTCCAGCCCAATCTTTCCTTTCAGCAGTCCAAGAACAGACTGAGAGAAGCTAGAATAGAGTCTTCTGAATCCTGGAAATTTCTTAAAAAGGAGATGGACAATGTTCTGTATGTGCCCTAACAACAACAGTCAGAACTTGGCTCTAGCTGAGCTGTCAGAGACAATAAAATCAGACAGCACAAGCCAGAACACATCAGGACAGCAGTGCCATCCAGTTCCAGCAACTGAAAGCAACATGCTACGATGCCAGTGGGAAAGGCAGGACAGACTGCTCCCATCTCACACCGCAGGACAGGGGCGCCACTACAGCCCCGCCAAGACACCAAGCTGTTACCTGGTACAGGACCCACGAGAGCAGTGGGCAAGAAGATATGTCCTGCTGCAGGCAGCTCCCTGGCAGCAGCTTTCCTCAGCACACCTGAGCCTGCAGCGCTGCACCGTACCACAGCTCCATCCCCCCACCCTTCAGAGGCTGTTGTTCAGTGCCTGCACAGACCCCACTGACATGGGCTTCCTCTTCCTTCCGGACTGGAATCATACCAGTGGACGAACTCATCTTGCAAAGACTACAGTTCCTGCAGCCCCCAGACTTGGAATCCAACATCACCCTAAACACCACTGAAGCCGCAGCTGAAAAGGGCAAGTTGAGGGTGAAATAGATATTCCTCTCACTTTTGTAAAACCCTCACACTTTTAATTTTGCAGTTGGAAGGTTCCAAGGCTATTTTCAACTCAGAGAATGTGGGACCTTTCACATGTCATTTATCTTGCTCTTTAACCTCCTGCCTATCTCAGGAATGGAAACCCTTAGAGCCTCTGTGCAAGCTGGAGTCTACCATGGTTCTGTATACAGCACTTAATTGTAATCCAAGCCCAGTTTTCTTTTCTCCTGAAAAGGAGGCAGTACCACAAACAAACACTCTGTCACACTCCATCAGTATGCCACTGAAATTACTATGAAGGAGGAGAGAAGTGAAAGGCCATTAGGGTTTACTAGAAACTAAACTTCAGGACTTGAGTGTAACAGAAACAGTAACGTCTGTTTGTCTTGCTCTTAGCAACAGTGATGTTAGCTCACACTAGATGGGCAGCTCCGACTAAGGCTGACATTTCAAATGTTACTGTTAAGATCTAATCTCCAGCACAGCTACCTGGTACAAACAGTTAATGCATCACTATTAACCCCAACTCATTTTTAACACCAAAACTGTGAAGCAACCCAGCTGAAGGGTAAGTGTGGGGAGAACAGCCAACTCCCCTGGCTTTATACCCAGACTCAGCATGGTGCTTCAGTTCCAAGTAAGAAAATAAAAGGAGAATTCCTGGGGAGAAGTTTGGTTTGTTAGGGAAATCCCATTTAGCAACAGATCTCACCAGCTGTGCAGCTAAGACACTTGAGAACTCGCTGTTCATTGCATAGGGAAGGGCTGTCTGTGCTCTTGAGCCATATGTGGTCTGAAACCTCTTCTTGATTTCATTCAGGAAGTTGAAGGCTCTGGATCGTTCAAAGTCCTGGAAGGAAGAGAACAGACCATGTCCAGAGCTGTATCAAGTCACAAATAATGAAGTATAATGGGGTATGTAGCCAGCTGTAGAGAAACTGTAATTATCAGTTCTTAGCAGGCACGCTGCACTGTGGGATTTGACTGGTCATCCTGGGGTTTGAACAGCAGCCAGATTTCAGCCTCAGCCTCCTGGACGTCATTTGGCAGCAGACTTTACTGGGGTATCCATAGTTCTAATTCTGTTCCTGGTACCTTCTTCCAAGGAGGGAGATGTTTTTGCTTCAACACTTCCAGAATTGAGGAGTATTATGCATATTTCACTGACAATTAAAGGCTAGCCTCTACATCTAGATTCTACTGCACTGGGGATGCTAAGAGAGAAACTTAACCTCAAAATTACTCATATGCATTTGAGTTCCAGGCTTAGACTTCAAAGCTATAACTGATGTGAATGACAACACAAGCAGTAATTCCAATGGAAAATAAAGACACCTCAGATTAGCACCCACTATTGATTTTTTTTTTTACATACAGTTACAAAAAAAGCCCAAACCTTCAAAGATCCTGTCTGTGCAACAGCTGTAACCAAAATACTTACATCATCTGTGATGCAGAGGTATATAATCCTGTCTTGGCAGATGTAATGAAACAGATAACTGCAGAGAAGAAAGGAAGGAAAAAAAAGGTCATTTGGAACTGCCACAGGACTAATCTAGAACACACTGCTGCCTGCAGGGCCTTCAAGGGCTGGAGAAGTAGAAGAGCAAATTCCAGTTACTCTACAGCAAATGACACAGATGCCAGCATACCCCTTTGTTCAGGTGAATGTCTCCATTCCTATAACCTACACTGAATTAGAGACCGCCTACATGTTAAAAGAATCACCGGCCTCACATACTGCACAGCATGCCATGCTTAGCAAAAACTTTGTGGGACATTTAGTTGTTAAACTATCTTAGTTCCATGTTCTTCCAGCTACTTATAAGAATCAAACCTTAACAGGATACAGAGGGGTAAGATTTTTATCTAATCCTAATCAATGTGCATACAAGCATCCATGCACTAATTCACATGTGATGAGAGCTGCAGTCAGAATGACCAGAGAGATAATACTTTAAGTGACCCCCACTCGCACAGTGACTTGCTTCTTTAGCCTTCTTCGTATAACCAGTGGGTTGCGCTGCCTTCGGTTTTCAACGCAAAGGCTAAGAGACAAAAGCAACCACAGCAGAAAATGAATTAGATAGAACAATAATCACGTTAACAGGCTCAAATCATGTGGCTAGGTTAACTATTCTTGTGAAGATGCCTTTGGTGGTGCTGAGTGAACACCAGTGTTAGTTAACAGCAACCCTCAGTATCCTGAAAAACAGTGCAAACCAGTTCAAAGTAGTATTTTCCTATTAAAATAAATCCAAGTTGTTATTTTAGGCCCACCAGAAAAAAAAACAACCCTTAGTTTATACACAACTAAACCCAAACCAGAACTGATCAGAGCATTCTAGTTCAACTCACTGGCTTTAGCTGTTCCTTTTATTATACTGCCCCCTCACCACTATTTGATGCTCCAGTAGGTGATGTATTCTTCTGACAAGTACAGCAGGACAGAATAGGAATAGAATTGCAAAAAGGCCACATGAATACTTCTTTTTTCTTCTCTAAAAAAAACAACTGTGTATCCTTTCACTTTGACATCTGTGTATTTCCAAAAGGTTTTCCCAGTAAGCATGCAGACCCTTGTACAAAGTCCAGAATAAAAGCAAGTTAATGAACATGCTGCACAGCAATTGCCTTGTACAGATCTCTATGGGCACAGCTCAATAGCTTTCAAACTCAGGTTCTGTATTATATAAATAAGACAACACTGAATTAAGCTTTAGGGATGGGCTAGAAGTAGAGTTTACTGCCCTGAAGGTCTGTTCTCACAAAAAAAAAAAATCCCTGCATATCCACAACTACTGCCCCTCCTTCCTGGAGGAGAGAGATAAAGCTTGCCTGGTACTACCTTACAAGCTCCTCAGTGGCTTGTAGGAGAATCTTAACAGCTGAGACAGAATAACCCCAAGAACTCCTGATGCTAGAGGACTGGTTTTCCTTTAAGATTATATAAAAGACACAGAAGCTCTTCTTAAAAACAAAAAGAAGTCATTAAATGAGTTTAAGTAGTCCAAACAAAGTTAAAAGAAACTCAAGTTTTTTCCTGTTTCAGAAAAGGAGAAGGAATCCTAGACAGACAGATAACAGGGCAATTCTCCACCCTGCAGGCTGGGACCCTAGCAAGGCAGGACAACCCCTGAAACCCTACAGACAGGAATAGCAACTCCTTGTGCTCAGCTTCACAGCTTTCACGTTTTCCCCAGTTATCACGGCCAAAGGAAAAAGAATAAAGCTATTCTGTATCTCCACAAACAAAAAACTTTGCTTTCCGACAGCAGGAAGAAGTTGCCAGCTCCAAGCATGGGTGTGTGAAAATATTCAATCCCCCAAACAGACGGCTAGGAACTCTTTCTACCCATCTCTTAGAGGGAAGGCAGGGTTGGCAGATTCTGATAAAAGAGGTGGTTGTCCAAATCATAGAAAAAGCACCAATATAAGACTTGTCAGAAGAGACTAACTTTAGCAGGAGACACACTGATGCTAAGCTCAGTACCCAGAGCTGCTGAATGGCACCTTGTATGTTTTAACAGCACAATGCAAAGCAGAACAACCACAAACGGCAGTGATCTTCTGCTACATTTGTTAAATCCTCAGTAAGGAAACAGTAACAAGAAAAATATTGTACACTTTGCAGCATGCTTTGCAAGTACAGATGCATTAGTTACCTATCTCAGTGTTCTCCAATGAAGAACAAAGCCATCTCTACCACAATTCAAGTTTTCATCTATAAAAATAGCACTATGGCACTCCTGAAACTCAACTCTGCAGTTGGTTGAACAGCACCAAAGCAAAGTTAAAACAAAAGAAAATAACTGTACCCTTAAAATTACAGTAGAAAAAAAAAAAACCAGCATCCAAAGTACTCTAGACTTCAGGGCAGGCAGCCTCCTCAGAAAGCTCTCCCCCAGGGACATTTAGTACTCCCAAGCCAGGGAAGGATGCGGGAAGTCTACACCAATTTTTATCTCCTGAATCCTCAGGCAGCCAAAATCAGCTTTAACACAACAGCTTGAGCAACAGTGAGAATCCAACCACACTGCCAATTCCAAAGATGGAACTGAAGTAGGGTCCAACACTTCTAAATTTGCTTTCTCCAGAGTTCTTTCTTTAGTTTGCACACCAGCACACTGACTTACCTACTTTACATGTGCAGTCAGTCAACAGTCTCAGGCAATAAAAAACATCTAATCCCTCCCTTCTATCAACACTGACCGAGATCTGACCGAGATCCAAGCCTGGGAAAAATCCTTCTGTCCCACAGACAGGATCTGTGATAGCTCAGGATGACTCTAACATATGCCAGCATGACTTAAAGCCACCAGGATCCACAAGTCATCTGAGAAAGGTGGTATTTTTACCTAAAGCCATGTTCAAGCCTCAGAAAATACAGCAAAAGACTCCACAAGCCAAATACCAAAGACTCCCAACAGTTTAATATTCACAGCTGAGCACCTTCCAACTCACTCTGGAGTTGTATAAAAATAGAAAATTTGATTTCATATCAACCTCTTAATCCAAATTCAAATCCTGGTTATGCTGCAAAATTCTGGGGGGGATAAAATAGCTATTGTGCTGACTGCACATTCAATCAGCATACTAACACAGCCAAATCTGAGTCTGGCTACACTCCATTTATTCCTATCCTCGTGCATGCTCACTAGTCTCTCCTCCCATACCCAGAAGAGAAGAGAAACATTACTCACTTCCCATGTGAATAGGTCAGTTTGTTGTTTTCAGATGGTATTTTTGCCAGGATCTGCTCTGTCACCTCCAGGAAGTTTCCTCCACACCAGGCATGTTTGGCAAGGATGGTTGTGCCCCTCGCCACAACAGCGAACAGGATAGCCATGACTTCACACTACCTGGAAATAAAAACACTGCAAGAATTACTCGTGTTCTTTGGCAGAAAAAGCATCATAATCTTAACAGTATTCTCTCATGGCATAGGCATAGGCTTGTTCAATACTTCGACAGGATACCATTATCAGAAAACCTCTCTCATTTCCTCTTTTAGGTTCTGTTCTGAATGACACCAAGACTACAATAACTGCTGGGAGGTTTTTTCTTACTGCAACTACATTGTGTCCTACAGTCTGTGATCCCATAATGGATTTTGCCTACCTTGTTTCCACCTAGATTTCCAGCTATTAGTACATTTTTTTGCTCTTCAACTGACCTTAAGTTTTTTCTTGCTACTGAAAAAGCTGCCTGTGACCAGCAAGTTCCAGTTCAGAAAGGAAGTAACTGTCTTGCAGCTATGTTAACAACAGCTCATTATACAGACCAAGCCCACCACCCCCAACACATGACTGTTTAGGGGTAAGGCCTTTTGCTTTGATTGCTATCAAACTGAAGTAGAAAAACCACCACTTGCTTAGAGTCACACCATACACATCCCCTTTTTAACGGTCTAGGCACTCATTAAGTGCATGTTGTCCCAAGACTTCTGTAATAATCTGCACTTCTCAAAGCAAGACAGCACATTTGCAAACTGATTACCCTCAGCAACACACTATTTCTACAAGCCAGCACTCTTGCATACATATCAAACAGGACAGGTCACAGTGTGTGTGTGTGTGTGTTTCAGGGCCAGACTTCTGTGAAGTGTCCAGAGTTGGAAAAAACACACCTGCTGTCATGTAAAGGGACACACTTGATCAGCTCAAGTATCACCACATTAATCTACTGACAGACCCAAGACTTAACATGTGAAACCACATGTCAGACCACAGCTGTGACATCTGCTCGGCTGATCCAGTACATCCATAAGCCTCTTTTCTGCTTAGGAAAGGCTTAGGGAAGACTTTTGACCCTGCAATACCCAAAAATCTTATTTTTCACTTTGCAGTTGACCGCCCTCATATTGCCTGCCTTGTTTTGTGTCTAGAAATGTCTGCATTCTGGCTGGAAAGATCACACACCTACTTCAATACAACCAAGTAGCTTGGAGACCTCCCCAGAAATAAGTACAAACAGCAGAAAAGCAACGGTTTAGCTTCAGGATCCGAAGACCACAGGCAGAAAGACTGAACACAGGCTATGCCCAGCCAGACTTTCCACCCTTCCAGCACCGACTGAAGTGACCTATCGATCTCTTCTGTATCAGGCGTTGGTCCTACTGAGCACTGTGCAGAAAGATCTGCCCTGAAGAGCTTATGCTTTCATGCAAACTGATGCACAAATGATCACAGCAACAGTGGAAGAGGTGATGGAGGAATGCAGAGCTGTTAATGAGGCCATGAAGTTGAGCTACAATCACTACGCCGCTGCATTGGGGCTCACTTAGTCCATCTGAGCTTGACAGATTCGGGCTTGACCAGCAACAATCAGGTAGTGTCCCAAACCTTCCACAGCTTTAAGAGCTCAACAATAGACTACATGGCTAAGCTACAACTACCTGGGAGCACTGAGGTATTCAGAGCCAGCACTGCTGAAGGGAGGAGGCAGCAAAGGAGGAGTTTGACAAGGGGTCACAGCAAGCAAAGGGGGCAGCAGAACAGTAAGAGGTCTCAAAGGACACTGCTTCAGAGGAGAGCACCCAGCCAGGCACACTCTAGAAAACCTGAGAGAGTTCATAGTGCCAGTAAAGGGGAAGGGAGAACACCCCAGACAAAGCCTCACATCATGCAAGATGCAGGTTCCCAGAGAAGCTGTTCTTCTTTGCTCTTCCTGATCAGTAACACAACAAAAGGGCATCAGTAACCAGAGAGGGGAGGAAACACCAGAGCACTCAGCAGCAGCTCCCCCAAACAGATTTCTGCTTTTGCTTCCTCCTGACTGGCACTCCTCCGACTCATACACATGGCCCTTCATTTCTACCAAGCCCCTCATGCTGCTTTGCACAACTTGTTTCTTGTTTACACTGTCTCAGAGCAAGACCAGTTTTCAGAACAAAGGCAACTTGCTGCATTTACCTGCTGCTCTTTTTGATATGACAGCTTCCCTTGTCCTTAATTACTGTGTCCAAGTTCTCATGCACCTCATTTCCCATCCACCACTCCCACCTTGGTGCCAGCCTCACCTCTACATGGCTCAGGGATTTAAATAACAGGATTTATATCCAGTTGACATGTTTGCACAAAGCCTGTTAGGAAGAAGAGAGGGGAAGAGTGCCCAGACCAGCAGATAGTGAAGGAATTGGGGTTTGCAAGCAGCCATTCCCCTGCCTTGTCCCCCTCACTTCCAGACCGAAGCAAGCTCCAGCTCATTTAAAAATGTCAGTACTAACAGGTGACAAACAGCTAAGTTTGTTTTTGCTTCCTCCCACAGTTACAGGTATGCTGGCTTGCAGGCTCACAACTGGCCTGTCAGCATTGCAGAAGAAAACCAAATTCTTTTACATCTAAAGAGGAGATGATCTTTAAGAACAGGTGGTGCTTATTATGCTCAAGTAGTGTCTGTGTCTACCTAAAGAAAAATATTGAAGTTACCTAATATGGGAAAGCAAGGGCAACAGTTTTCCCCCTTTCACACTAAGGAAACTCCTCGGTGCAAAGATACCCAAGGAGAAAGAATAAAAAGCAGAGAAGAAAGTCATGATTACTCACTAATAAAAAAATTAAAAGAAAGTTCAAGAACAGGTTCCAGCAGAAGGAAGTAGTTATTCACACAATGCACCTTCTGAAACTCCTTTGCATGTGCTTTCATGGAGGAAAAGTTCACATGAGTTCAGAAAGTAACTCACAAGGTTATGGAGAAAAACAATCACTGTTAAACAAGTTATCACTCAAGCAGCCACTCGCTGGAGCCTAAGAGTTTTATCATGAGTTTCTTCTATTCTTCCACTCTTGCTCAGGCATCCCACCAGCCACCACAGAGCCAGACCCACCTTCAGTCTGACTCAATAAAGTAATTCATAACACTGAGAATCACTTCAGAGAAGTTCAGGATCTCTTTTCCAGGTAGAAATACTATGAAGAGCAAATAATATTTTCAAGCAGCAAAGCTGACGGCCCACCAAGTCAGAACCATTTCCAGCCCCGGTCAAGGTTATGACTCTCACAGGACTTGAGCTTTAGGGCTTCTTTTGCTCACCACACTGCTCTTCTCCTACAAGAGGAATTAAGAGTTATACAACAGCCTGCTAAGTCCCAGCACTCCCAGTTCAGAGCAAATGCCTTAAAGGAGTTTACAAACACGCTTCCAAGGCATCCTATCATCTCTTGCAACTCTTGAACTACCAAGAACATCACATGACAAGCAGAGAGCCAAGTCATTTGCAAAGCTTCTCAGAAGCCCAACCACAGCCTTCTCCCTCCAGCACCACTGAACCAGCCTGCCTGATCACTTCTTTAGGACTGTTTTAGAGCTGCCCCACTACAGCAAACCCAAACTGCCTTCCAGAAAGCAGTATCTAGAAAAGCCCGGAGACTGGTCAACCTACATACACAAAACCCATTTTGGGGTGTTTCCAGCACTGACATCCTGCCACAGAAGACTTTTTTTTTTTTTTTTTTTTTTTTTTTTTTTTTTTTAAAGCCAGCCATAAATAGCTGTATCAATCACATGTTGATTGCATTAGAGCAGGAAAAGTAATCACAGGTTCCAGTGATACTTTGCTGCCTCTGGCCTTAAAAAGCTGCTCTCAGCTCTTCAAAGCACAGTGCTACAGATGTGCAAGTCTGAGGGTCAAAGTGGGATTCCAGTGCTCTAAGCCAAGACTTACCTACCCCTAGCTAAACACAAGCTGAGTAAGTTACTAATCACAAGGTTCCCCTCCACAGCCCTGTAGAGACCAAGAGCTTTAGCCTAATGCTCGCAACATCATTTCAGATGGACACGGAGCAGAAGTGGGGACTACTCAGAGCTAAAACATAAAGCAATGAGTAAATCCTTGGAACCTCCTGCAGGACCCACTACCTCCACCTGAAGAAGCTGAAGCAGAAAAGAAGCCTAGCAAACAACCAAACTCAACATGTTTATAGACAAAGATGAAACAAAACTAAACCTTGGATAACTCAAGTTAAATGCTTATCACACCAGAGACAAGGGCAGCCACACAGCTGATTCTGATCTTGTAAAAAGAAATTATTAACTGCCATGCAACTGTTCTAGTTTCTCCTAATTAAAGAGACAGAAGCTCACTCCTGTCTGAGAAGGCTGCAGAGAACACAAACATTTTCCCAGAAAAAAAGTAGTATCTATAGCCAAAAATTAGAAAGATAATATTCAACTGTCCAGTCCTTCACAAGTGATTCTCTACAAGCTTAGAGTCATCCCCTATCCTACACTTCAGCTTCAACTAAATTAGCCAGAAGATGCAAACTCCACAAACTGCATTTTATTGTTTTCTACTCACTCAACACCTGATCTCTTCAGGTGCTACTAACAACGAGGATCTGCTGAGTAGCATGTCAAAGAATTTGTGAACAATTGCAACAGCACACTGATCTGCACCAATGCTAACAAAACCAAGAGGAATTTACAATCACATCCCTTCAGATCCACCAAGATACAATCATCTGCAATGCTCTGGCCAGTCCAACAACTGAACCAGAACTGTGTCAGTGCAACACCAGGCCATAGCCAGGAATAAACAAACACGACTAAGTCCCTTGAGCAATCAGGTGACTGGCCAGTATCAAGAAATCAATCTCTTCACGTTGCAGTCACTCAATGAACAGGACGAACATAAAGGCGCAGCTGTAAAAGAAAAAAAACCCCAAACATTCCCAAACCCTCCCCCTGCCCACTCAAGCAGAGAGACACCTTAATTTCCAGAGTAGAAGAACTCCAGGTTTAAACTGAGGATAAATGGTTTAGAAAACTTTTAAAAGTCTCTGTTCTTTTAGTGTTGGACATTGGCAGAACTCACATTAGTGAGGTGAGAGTTCAACAGTACCACAAGTAAGGTGACACTCCCTGACGCTGTGGGATCCCACAGTCCTGCAGCAGCAAGGAAATCAACTCAGTGAATTCACAGTCCTCAGCTTTACTTAGGAGACAATAGTCATGTACTTTGCAATGAACCTGCCCCCAGCTTTGAGCAGAATGAATTAAATGAAACAAAACAGATTTAACAAGGAGTATAGTTCTCACTATAAGCAGTATCCCATGCAGCCCTCTAACACTCGTGTATTACTTTTGTTAGCAATAGAAATCTATTGAACTGCTAGAGAATATCTCTCCTCAGAAGTTACAAGAGAGTCAGGAATTAAAACCACCCCTTTGTATAACCTAGAGATTACAACTGTCTTCCTATCTAAACTTACAGTACAGAACGGCTGGAAATAGCCAACACCAAACTTTCCTAAACGAAAAACTCAGAGATATCGGGTAGGCCTTGCATGGAAAGGCTCCAAATCAGGAGGGAAAGGGGGAAAAGGCTGCATTCCTCAGCTGCTCAAAAATCACCACGGATCCAAAGAGCTGCTTAAGCAGTGCCAGAAGCATTTGGCAGCTAACAGAGATGAAACACAAAGGTGAGTATTGCATTTGTATCACAATGACTATTTACTCATTGCAAGTCACACTGCAAGATGCAGCATTCTGCTGCCTACAGTCTCTCATGGCATTTAACAGAAGGACACAGAAAAACCTGCAGCATCTTAAAGCATGTCAGAAACACAGGCTGTCTTCAAAATGAAGTTTAAAACCTCAGCAGGGATGATTTATTACTTTCAAGCAAGACACAAAATCCCTTGTTTGTTGCTCTGACTTCACTGAAGATCTAGAATAAACTATCAGATGTCAGTTAAGACAGCTGGGGCAAGAACTGAACCCAGAAAACTGTGCCCATCCTGTCAGCACCTGGTAGCTGAGGGGGACTCATCAGTCCTTCTTCTTGGCCAGAAGATTCACAGCCTCAGTGCCAACAAGTGATGAAGGAGGTTACTGCTTATACTTCCAGCAATCCTTTTTTATGGAAAGCAAGGGGCATCACATTACTAGTGGCTTTAAACATGAAATAAGTGTAGGTGTTGCAACCCTGCAAGTCACAAACTGCCAGACTGCAGTAAGATCGTTTAAGTATGGTGACTTCAGCAGAAAGTAGTCTAGACTTCCCTTTAACCCTTGGTCAGCATCTGCAAATTATTATTACTTTAAAGGATATTCCAACGTTAAGCCTTGTAGTTTATTTGTTCATTTTAAGCCTGTGAAGCACGGCATTCATGCACCAACTTAACAGAAGTTCTGCTTCCTCTCACCTACACAGCTTACTTCAGGTACCTCCACTTCAACGTCACAGAACCAAATCGCTAGGTAAGATTAACCCAGTTTTTCCTCCAGCTGCATCACCTTTTCTAGAAGGCTGCATAACATGTTTTAGAAGGGTAAAAGAAACAGAATATGACAGCTATTAAACACACAGCTCTCTAGAGAGGCAACATGTACACCCTAAAGCATGCTTACTTACAGCGCCCCCCATCACAAGCCTAACTGCAACGATTTATCACTATCCAGTCTTTAAAATCCACGCAAGCCTTTGCCTCGAGTGACACCAGCAACGCCGGGGTTAATGCAGCGCAGCGGCTACGGCCTTTACCCCCTGT